CATTGATCAATAAAGCTTCACCTGGGGGACCAAAAAGGTCCAAAAAACTCAAATACAAGAGATCTAAACATTCATAAGGCAAGTTCTGAACTTTATACCTCAAAAGAGTGCTAAATGATGATGATGTTTCGGATCTTTAAGCTCAAGCTTAACTAACTTTCCTTCACCAACTTCCTCTTCTTCTTTTCAAAGCTCTAAGCTACCAAAAATGAACTCCACAAGGTTAAGAACACACAAGGATGATGAGGGTTAGATTTTAGGGTTTTTGAGCTAAGGAGGTTGATAAGAAGGCTGGGGCATGGGACACAATGACATATTTATATGGCTTGAACCCTAAAAATTAGGGTTTTAAGGTAGCACACGTACGCTAGGCGTACCACTTAGTACGCTGCACGTACGTGCATGGCTCTGCATTTTCCTTGATCTTACTATGCCCTGTGTACGCCAGGCTTACGCCCAACGTATGACTTCAGCTAGCCCAAATACAAAAAGGCCCAACCTCTAAGCCAAAACAACTTCATGGCCCAAAATAAATAAATGAAAGATTAAATAAATTAGTAATAACTTGGAATCACGGATGTTACACTTTAACTATATTTAATCTAACTAATTAAACAATAGATACTTACATAACATGTACTTCATCTTGAGTCTTGCAAGTCAGATATGTAATGCGCATCCTTGCATGTGTACTATAATATGAAAATATTCAGAAGAACAAGAATTCTTAAAATTCCTCTTTAAAAAAATATTGACTCATAATTTGGCAAAAAAAAAATCATATAAGACTATGGTGTTGATTGTTTTTTTTTTCCAAGAAGAGTTTCGTGATTTCTTTTGTTTGCGTCATACAAACAACACACAAACTCAGTGTTTTTAGAATATCACAAACCTAAATAGTTATGTGTATCATCTTTTTCGAGCAAGCATAGACTCACTTATTTTCAAGTTTACAAACGTTTTTCAAGTAAAATAAAAAAGGCAGATTTTTATTCATATTACAAAATTTGAATATTACATTTATGTCCTTATATTTTTTAAAACTACATATACGACCAAGTTCACATCTATATCCAAACCAATATTTTATTTAGGATTAAACAGTTTAATATTGAAGAACTTATCTAAAATCCAAAATACCATAAGATATTACTAAACTACTGTTCTCAAATTAAAATTTATGATTAACAATTTAATTAGAATTAGAACAAATTTTAATTTATTTTAGCAACTTGCAGATTTTAAAAAACAAAATAGTATTCTTCTTGCAAACTGTACAAGTTTGGTCTACATTTTCTTTTGCAGATGTGTGTATATGTGTTCCATAAATTGTATATCTTTCACCTCTTAAAAAATAAACAATACATGAGTATAAAAAATGAGATACAATTTAAAATACAAATATTATCCCCTTTTATACATTTTGTGAATTACTGAACATATATTTTGCAAAAAGTAAATAAATATAAGATGATAGCCAGATCAAGTTAATATATTTCAGGCATCAAATGACTTCACAAATAGGGTGCTAGTTTATTTTTGGGAAATTAACAAATATAGGACAACTAAGTTTGGTGTTTGTTTTGGATTAGTTATTAAAATTATTATTTATTTATGTATGTATGTATTTTGCGTGTTAGATTCCGAAAGTTTAATTTCATGGGGCTTGACCCCTCAGCTAACATGTTTTCAACATAACTCCACTTTCATAGCATGAGGGCCGTATTAGAGAGTGTGTCAACATGAACGATGGCCAAGTGCCTCCTAAAGCCCATTTTTTATGTATCTATTTACATTTTTATAAGAGAAAAAACGTATTGATACAAAGTCGTCATAGACAGTGAAAAAAGAGAAAAACCAATGGAGCCAAGATTGGTATAAAAGACAAAGAAATTCCAACCGATTCTTCATGAATTTAAGTAATTAATCATTTTATATATAAAAATTACTATTAAAAGCCTCAAAAAAAAAATTGTTTGGGTTTCAAATCGGCTTAAATTGGCATTGCATGACATCGTACGCGGCAAAGTGGGTTTCATGTTAATTACACATGTTAACGTATTCACCACTATCACAAATTTTTGATTAATGATAATATCTTATGATAGAAAATAAAAGAGGCAATGTTATTCAATTTTAGTAACATTTACCATAGTTAGCACTTAGACCATTTTAAAAAAATAATCAAATGTAGCCACACCTTAGGTATAGTTTTCAAGATCACTGCGATCACTAGCATCCAGACCCTTCAATTTTTATCTGGTGAAACATTTTATTCATAATTATAGTTCTACCATATACCACTTGTCTTGTCGAGTTTGATGATAAAGTAACTATAAAAAATTAAAATGGAAAATATCATGAAAATGAACCGTAAATTAGAAAAAGGAAACTCACAAGATAGAAAAGGGAGGAGGAAGTGAGAGACATACTTGACTTGTGGTGATATGTGGTGACAGTGTCACTTGTCATGGTTTATGCAGACGCCATGTCACACTTGCCACACTTTAGTTAAAATTTATCATTTGCTAGACATGAGTTGCCACACTTGCCATGCTATTTTTTTTAAATACAAAATAAATATTCAGGCATAACATTTTTTAAAAACTAGAAATTCATTAAACTTGAAATAAAAACATATAAATTAAAAAATACAACACACACACACCAAAAAAAAAAATAGAGTTTACAATAAAAAACATAAAAACTAAAATTACCAAACCCAGATAAACCTAAATGACATCTTCATCGGAAAATTGACATTCCAAATTGTCGACCGGTTCTGCGTTAAGATCGATGTGGTCGACATTCCAAATATGTTACGTCAAGTCCCTACAAAGAACATGGTGCGTTTTAACATCATGAACTATTGCCCTCTTTGACATGTACTCTGCGCTTCCAACCTCAAAAGCTTGTGTCGATGGAACAATCTCGTTTTCGCTATTCTTACATATTGCATTTCCTCCGTCTTCGAGGATCATATTATGTAACACGATACAAGTATATATCACTTCGCTCATTTTCTTTTCCTCCATATAAGGCGTGGGATATTTAAGAATATGCAGTTTTGAATGCTCGTTCAACATCCTTTCCCGCCTTCTCTTGAGCTCTCATAAACTTCAACCTTTTTTAATCATTTGGACAAGACAATGATTTCACAAAGCAAGTACACTATGATAGATCCCATCCACAAGATAATACCTGGTCCTATAAGATGTTCCAGCTACTTGAAAGTATGAGTCATGTGCAGTCCTATTATACATGTTGTCAAGTAACGGAGACATGTTAAGAACATTAATGCCATCGAGGGAGTCAATTGAGCCAAAGAATTCATGTCATATCCACATATCCTGTAAGGCCACTACTTTAAGTATAACGGTTGGATAGTCATGATCGCCTTGGGGTGTATTGCTCTTTATGGGCATTCCGACAACAACCCCATGCCCAGTGGAGGCAATTTAGGTTTCCTAACATTCTAGGAAAGTCGTGTACATTTGAGCGATGCGCATACAATGTTAGATGTCACCACAAGTAGGTTTGTGTAGATATTGTGGACCATATAATCTCATGACATACTTGCAAGAATTGTAAAGGCTAGTTCGTGCAATACGTCTGAACATCCTAAGGTTCTCCTCTAGTGCATCGGGGCAAGTGACATATGGTAATTGACGAACTGCAATGATACATTTTTGTATACGAGTAAAACCAACTTTACCTCTAGTATCTCGACGTTGTTGAAAAAATGGACACGCTGCCGTGATATCATTGACGATACGTAAAAACATATATTAATACATATGAAACCAACAACGAAAATAATATATTATAAACGTGGCGTCATCCATAAAGTAATCTTGCATGAGTCGTTCATTAGCCGCCTCATGAAATCTTTGTATGTACATTCTTTTCCTTTGGCGTGCATTCTCCACATTTTCTTGGTGTAGTTGCTCGGTCATCTGTTCCGCCTTCCGAATAACCTTTATGGGGGTTTCAAGCAAGACATCAAACATGCCCGATGAAGATAACGAAAACGATATTTTGAAAGAGTGTATATGAGTTGTAAATTGATTTTGATGAGTTAAAATGGTTAAGGATTGTAGTATTTATAGTAAATAATTAAATGAAAATAGCGGTTGTAGCCACCCCATTGGTCCACTCAACATAGTCAATTTCGACATTTACTAACTGAGATACTCCGCCGAGCTCGGCAAGCCGAGGGGTCAGCCCGATGTGCGCCGAACTCCTCGCCGAGCCCATTCCTTCCGAAGTTAAAGTTAATTCAAAACTTGAGTTCATCTTCATTTATTTGGGTTTTGTATCATCGCGATTCAATTTGTAAAAGAGACACAAGGCGAAGGTTGTGTAATGGCGAGGTGTGAACCCATGTTCAAGCACATTACTATATCTCGTATCAATGTAATGAATGGAGAAAAATCTTATATATGTATATATTTTTACACAAAGCTAAATCACGATTAGATATAATACAAATACAACTATTTTTATTCAAATATAATAAAGTAATAAAATTATCAATATTTTTACAACGAAATTACAAAAAAGGAATGATTTGATCACAACGTCCACGTGTCAACTCTAAACGATCGAAGGGCTCCGTAACAAATTCTTGTTCCCATCAGTTGTGGGGTAGCTCATCAAACGAGATCAGAGCCGTTGAAACAAAAATCGACGGTTGACAGCCTGCCCCAACAATAATCCGGGCAGATTCTTTGCCCTATAAAATTGACACCATACCAACCACACATTCTCACTCGCCCCTTTCTAGCGTGAGGAAGAAGAGGGCCCCTTCAAACCCGAAACCCTCGCCTCTTCCCGTAGCTCTCACCGGTTAATTCTCTCCGGCGACTACTCCTCCGTTTATCCGCCTCATGGCTTCGCGCCATTTTTTTGCCGGAGATTAGTTGCCGGAAGGTAGAAATGTTGTTCTGATTCGACGAGCCTCTTTTATTCTTTCCATTTTGGTCCTCATTGTGGTTTCTATGGCGTCTGCGATTTTATCAAGCAGAAATGAACGAAACTCGGGTGATTTTATGAGTAAATTTACTGACAATAGTCATCTTACTTTCTCCAGATTACAGAATATCACTTGCCCTACTCCTCACTCTAACCCTAACCCTAATTCTAGCCGTTTCTTTAGCAGAAATGTTCATTGGAAAAATCAGGAGCAAATGCGGTCTTCTTGTCCGTCTGGAGCGGTGTTTATCGGTTCGTCGACTAATTCCGTACCGGCGAACTCACATGGATACAGGTACATTACCTACCGTCTTGGTTCGTACACTAGATTAGAGCTTAAAGAGTTGAGAGAAAAGCTAGTTCTGGATCTGGAGCGGGTGAGGAACCTCAAGCATTGGATCTGTTCGACGCCGATACCCAAAACACATTATCAACCCCCGTCGCTGGGGTTACCGCCGGCGCCAGAAGTTGATTTGACGGTGAAAGAACGCCCAAAGAATGCAGTCGGTCAGAAACGTGCGAAACCGTCTTCGTCAGCCAGGGATACGAAGAAGCATTGTGGTGCTCGTATGAAGAACAATACGCAGAGGAGTAAGCTCGTGATGAAGAAATGTGGGCAAATTTTAGGTAAGCTGATGAAGCACAAGCACGGTTGGGTTTTCAATACTCCAGTTGATGCGGCTGCTTTGAAGCTAAGTGATTATCATAAAATCATCAACAAGCCGATGGATCTTGGAACTATCAAGTCGAAGCTTACTAAAAACGAATACGAATCTCCTCTCGCCTTTGCTTCCGACGTCAGATTAACCTTCCAAAATGCCATGCTCTACAATGGCAAGGGCTCCGAAGTTTTCGCAATGGCAGAGCTTCTTCTTTCGCTGTTTGACGAAATGTTCGATCCAAATCATCATTCCAAGAGCCAAAATCGTTCCACCAAACTACCCATAGAACAAAAACCACTTCCAATCGAAAATGAGAAACCAGTATCCAATGTCAGAAAATCAAACCCTGTACCTCCTCAACTCCCACTACATCCAGGCAATACATCGAGTGATAACATCAGAAAGCCAAAGAAGCCGGAGATGACAGAACAGGAGAAATCAGAGCTAGCAGCAGGATTAAACAATCTACAACTGGATCCTGAAGGCATGGATCAGATAATGGCAATCGTTAAGAAAAGGGTTTCCAAATTAGAACAAGATGGAGGTGAAATCGAGCTTGATTTTGGTTTGCTTGATGATGACACGCTATGGGAGTTGCATAGGTTCGTTGGCATCTCCTGTAAGAAGACAATCACTAACATGGGTTCTTCTGTACAGACTAACAACGTAAGTATTCAATCCCTCATTTAATTTACTCGCTACTTCTTCTCTTAAACCTCTCTGATGAACATCGGATATCAGTCTCCAGATATAGAAGAGGAGATTGATATAGGAGAAGAAATCCCATTAAGCAGTTTCCCATTTCTTGAAATCGAAAAAGATGGTTTAACAGTGAGTAGTGGTGGTGGTGGTAGTAGCAGCAGTTCAACCAGTGATTCGTCATCTAGTGGTATGAAATATGAATTCAGTATGATCTTTTCATGGAAAAACTTGTGAATTGTGTTGTTGATCTTTGAAATTTGGTTGCAGATTCAGATGGTTGTTCAGGGTAGAGGAAATGGAGAGATTTCTGGGGGTTTGTGGTGAAAAGTGAAAGGAGAGAAATTCTAACTGTTTTTTTTTGGAGGTGTAGAGAAGGTTATATGTAAAGGAATTAACATGATATGATATGATATGAAGAAAGAAGTTTTAGTTAGAAGAAGGTGAAGTAGGAATTGGAGGAATGTAATTGAGATGGAAGATGGATGGATATGTAGATACTGAAAAGTATGTTCTAAAAAGTAAAAGAGTACGTTTTATGGATAGATGTTTTCTAACTTGAAATGAATGAACAATAAAATTTGATAATTGAAACAAGGAGATTTTGAAAATGGAGATTCTTGGTTAAAAAATGGCAATGATTAGTTGATCATACGTGTGTAATCCATAAACTTAATAAATGAAAAAAAAAAAAAAACAAGCAAACTGACTAACAGGTTGTGGCCATAATTGTTATTATTAATATTTTCTTTTTACATTTCTTTAATCTATAAATGTACATAGAATATTAAAATGGTTTAAAAAACATGATTATTAAACTGGAGCTTTTTTTTTTCCTGGTAAATTAACCAGGAACAATATAATTTTGAAAGAAAAAAAATTAACAGAAAGAAAGAATTACTTTTTAGACTCGGGGAGGGGTGAGGCATAGACCATACCTTTTGCGATATAGACAGGGGACCCCTCTCCCATGCGGTATTGTGTGTGGTTTGGCTTCTTCTTTAACTTCATTTGTTCCAACTAAAACCAACTTTTAGATTTTTGTGTTGTTTTCTTTCTCAAATCAATAGAGAATGTATTTCTTTGTATTTCAGAAGAAGAATTTCAAGCTGATTTTGATGCTGTTCAAATGGCGGAACAAATGTATGACGCTTTATGGCGGAACAAATGTATGACGCTTTATGGCGGAACAAATGTATGACGCTTTATGCAATAATGCAACCGAAAGTTTTCAGCAGGGAACACAAAAATATAATTTATAGAAATCGTGTAGAAGTCAACTAACGTTTGATACAAGATTATTTTTATGAGAATGCAATTTATCAATTGTACTATTTTTGTAGATGCTTCAAAATGTTCAAATGTTTATACGAACGTATAATCGAAGATGTAACGATAAAGTGTAGTTTTTTTTTTTTTTTTTTTTTTTTTTTTTTTTTTTTTCCAACAATGTTCTGATGTTGGAGGTACATCCAATTTCACTCATTTACAAAAATGCATAGCCGCACTTCGTCAACTAGCATATGACATCACGTTTGATGCATTGGATGAGAGTTATATGATATCTGCAAGGACCGTATGAGATAGTTTCCACCATTTTTGCAAAACTATGATTCATTTTTATGGGCCAAAATATTTACATAAGCCTACACAAAATCACATCTTACAATTGCAAGCTCGTCATGCTAGCGTATATAGTTTTCCTAAAATGATAGGAAGTTTAGATTGTCTCCATTGGATATGAAAAAATTACGCTACCTCACACCATGATCAATTTATTGATGTGATAATGGTCACCTAACAATCATACTTGAAGCGGTGGCGTCACATGATTTGTGGATTTGACATGTTTTTTTCAGTTATTCCGGCTCGATTAACGACATCAACGTTCTTAATCGTTCACCTATATTTAACAACATATATGACAGATCTGCATCAAATTCTATTTTTGAAGTGCATGGAACGCCATATAAGTATGGTTGTTATCTTGTTGATGGAATATATCTTGAGTATGTTGTGTTTGTTAAATCGTTTACATTTCTACATGATTCTAGATTGAAAAAAATTCAAGATAACTCAAGAAAAAGCTAGGATGGATGTCGAGCGGGCTTTTGAAGCTCTTAAAAAACGTTAGTTTATATTGAAAAAACTAGCAATTCATTTCAGTGAGGAAAACTTCAAGAAATCATGTATACATGTCTCATATTGCATAATATAATTATTGAAGACGAATGAAGAGCAATATGTGTGTATAACGAGCAAGAAACCATCCCTAAAAATACAATCAATAGAAATTGGTGGCGACGAGTATATGAATAGGAGAGCAGATATATGTTACACCGAAACATTTTACAATCTTTGTACAGACTTTGTAGAACACATTTACGAGATTCAACACACTAACCTTAATTTGAATCATCCGAATTACTCAGAAGACGAGTTCTCGGAGCAACTTTATGTAGTATGCTTTAGTTATTTTATTTTTGTTTTTTTTGAAATTATTTTAATCGTTTGATGTGTGTTTTTTGTAAGTTTGAATGATTTTTTAAATGTCATGTTATTATTTTTATTTTAATTTTAAGTAATACAATGTAATATATATTTCTTTTATTTTGAAGTATTTAATTTTTCTTTTATAATTATTAAAAAGGAAGTTTGATTAAAATTAAATTATAAAAAAAAAGTGTAACACCACTCCTTAGGTGTTGGCAAGAAACCATATTTCTGTGGTAAAAAGTGATGTGACACTTATGTGACAGTGAATTGAGTGTAGTTTCGGTGACACCACTTCCTCCGTGCTTACTTAGCCTATATTTAGTAGCGGGAGCAGCTTTATACATAATGGTAACAAGAAAGTATTAGAAAGTCTCGATATCGAAAAGAGAGAAAAAAAATGCATTTTCCGTAGGAACATTCGGGAAGGAGTCTTTTGAAAGTAGAGTGAAAGAAGATGAAAGTTTTATTAATTTATTTATTTTTAACAAAATAACAAAATGAATGATTAGTTGAATTAATATTTTGTTGATTCATAAAAAAAGTGTAATATACAATAAAATCTCAATATTTTGGAAATTTTTTAGAAAAATCTTAATTTTTTTTTTGAATAAACAACCTAGAAAACCGACAAATATCTTCAATTTAGACTTATTTTTTTTTTTTTTTTTTTTTTTTAACTTTTCAGTAGGTAAATGCTTGTATGACATGGCAGCTGATGTGTCATGCCAATTGTCATGTCAGCCAGAATGGTCACACCCTTAAAAATCAGATTTTTTGATTTTTTTTTTTGATAAAAAAGATTAAAAGATGTTTAAACTTGTAACCTCAATATCTAAAACAAGAGCTTTAGCTAACTAGGCTGTAAGCTTTACACAATATATTTCTTTAACGATAATATATAACGCCTACTAGCATAAAAAAATATTTATACGTAAAAAATACGTATAAATGAAAAAAAATACAAATAAAATATATATTTATATATTTTTATACCTTAAAAACGTTTTTAACGTTTTGTTTTACTTATTTTTCATTTTCTACACATATAAATACCTTTTCTATAAAAAGTCAAACAAATATATAAAGTAAAAAAAGGTTTTAATAATATCACTTCAAAAAGATTTCTAAAAATAATTTATTTAATTTAGTTTTTAATAATAACGATAGTAATTATAATTGCATATAAATCTTCGAACTGTATACAATAAATATAATAGTGAAGGTCAAATATCTTAAAAGTCTTCTAGATCAACAAGTAAGCTTTAATTTCCAAAGAGTTAGGTTCAAAATTGGATTCGGTCCATCGCCATTCAAAATCTTATCTTTTATTAGTCTAAGGAAAGTTGATAGATTTTATATATTATTGTTCAGGAGATAATATGTCAACATCTTCTAGCTTAGTTGGCTAAACTCGTGGTTTTTGATATTTTATTCCAGAGTTCGAACCCCATCCAATCTATTTCTCCAAAAAAATTCAACTTTTCAAGGCTGTAACTGTAACATCCATAAAATCATGCTAAAATTTAAACTTTTAAAAACATTTAAAATGCCATTAGTTATTACAAAAAGGTTTCCAAAACAATTTCATATCAGAGTTCCCTGAAATCATAATGATAAAGGTTTCCAAAACAATTTCATATCAGAGTTCCCTGAAATCATAATCATAAATCGAGGAAAGTGTACGGTCACACATTCGCCTTCTCGCGATCATCCGCCAAACTTGAAATAATAATCGATAAATGTAAGCTCAAAGGCGTAGTGAGTTACCCCCAAAATACTAATCTCATATAACCATAAACATATCATATAACAAGCACAAAAAAACCATGCATCTCGAGTCTACAGAGTGACTGGTCCCCCCTCATCGGGCCTTCAGTCTACCTGGTCCACTCTCTGAGTCTACAGTATGACTGGGCCACCCGCACCGGACCTTCAATCTATCTGGTCGACTTTCCGAGCCACGACACGTCTAAATCGTCCTCGCGGGGCCTTCAGCATATCCAGACCGCTTGTCGGGCCTTCGTCCTGACAATGTACCCTTCTAGGTCTGCAGTCTATCCGGTCTGCCATGGGTATGTTGGCCTATAGCACAAAGCAAGACCCGCCTCAACCCAACCCCAAACAAACAACCATGTGTACATATAATAAATAGTCACATAACAGTCCATATATAACAAACCGATCTAACAAATCATATAGCATAGCACCATCCTATCTGGATACCGACCGAATAGGTCACTAACATAGTACCGTCCTAATTACCCGGATGCCGATCTAACATATCAATACGCATATCAAACCAATACAAGTATACAATCCGAGAAAGGGTCGGCCTTGGTGCCTTAGACCATGTTGATATAGTGAGGATAACTCACTTTGAAATGCCGATCTGAACCGAAGACGCAGATTCCCAAACCATCGTCTCACCGACAATCCCGAACTATCCAAAATAGCAAATAATGAGTCAACACACGGGAGTATAAATCTTGACCAAGAATCACTCATATAATAATAGCCAATTTGTTTTCCTCTAATTTGGGGCCAAGGCCCAAAACCAAACCCATGATCCAAGTCCATATAATAAGGCCCAATATTGGCCCAACTTTCCAAACTGGGCCAACTACCCGATTGAGCCTACATCCAAGATCTAAAACCAAGACTTGGCCCAAAACACCTTACCCGTAATATTTAGCAAGGTCCAAGTCCAACTAGTCCATAGACAACCCAAACTCGAAACCCAATATCAAAAACCCCCAACAGAGGACGTACGCTGGGCATACCCCTCTGGTACGCGCGACGTACTTCGACTCCTGTTGACTGGAAAATAGGCCATTAACCAGGTATGCGGGGCGTACACGAGCTGAACAAAAACTCTCATAAGTGCTTAATGGCTTAAGCACTTAAGCCTAAACGTTAGATCCATCAACCAAATATTCCTAGGACTCATAAAGTCTCGAACTTTATCACTTTGGATGTCTAGAAAGCTCTTAATCTAAGGTCTTAATCCATTAAGACCATCCTAATGCATTCATGGGACACCTAAGTCATTGGGACCTCATTTTTAACACTCATAACCCCTTCAAGAGCCTGAAAGGACAGCTCATCTCGTTCAAATCATGACATGCACCATTTTGGGACTTTTTGGGACAAGAATGCTTTCATGAAACTAAAATGACTAGATCTAACTCATACAAGAATAAAGTTCCAAGCTTTTTACCTCCTGAAGCTTCTAGGACACACACCAACTTCAGATCTTCAAG